GCGGGAGGCAGGGCACGGCCGTCCGGGACGCCCTGGGGCGGCTGAAGGAGACCCGGGCGCAGCTCGGGCCGACGATGCCGACGACCACGACGACGACCCCGACGGCGGCGGTGGTGGCGGCGCGGCGACGGCGACGGTGACAGCGCTTCACCACCCACCAAGCCACCCTAACCCAACCCGAAAGTCCAAACTTACCCTTGATTTCCAGTTGGGGGGGGTCGGAGAGCTTTGAGAAAACACGTGTGGAACCCGTGCCCCACCCCCAACCCGAAGCTTGGGTCTTCGGGTTGGGCTGTGGTAATCTGGTAGGCAGTCATCGCTGGCGACGAGCAGAGAGGACCAGAGTAAACTCAGGACGTATCAGCGATGCTGTCGCGCAGTGCACCCTATTGGCCCAAGTCCCACTATGAGTTTCTGCACGCTTTCCCGCTCATGGCCCGCTCAAAAGCGAGCGCCCTCCCAGGCGAGGGCCCCACCTGAGAATGGAGCCGCTTGCAATCCCGCTGGCTGTAACGGGGGTGTTAGCAGTTCGGAACAACATGTAAGCGAAGTGTCAAGCGAGAACCCCGTTTTGGAAAGGCACCAGATGCGCACAAGCCCCCAGGACGGGTGCGCTAGGTGCACACACACACCAGGACGTTCCCGAATGTTCCCGACCGCATCTTGTTCACTTCTGCAGCGGCTCGCACGTCACGTGTAGTGTAACAGGCCGAAGGCGGTGGACACAACGTCCGAGGCTTCCCTCCAGCCCGCGCTCACGCCCATCCGTGCGTAGGACCAGGAGGCCGGCTCGACGCGGACACCACCATGCGATCACATCTCCACTATTTCCCCCAGCATTTACAGCGACGAACACGCCTGAGTGTAAGCGGTCTTGAGCAGGAGCGACAGCCAGATCCACTGAGCACGAGTGGCTCTGAATGTGACGGGAACTGGGTTGCAGCGCCTCGGCATCGTCCTCCTCCTCCTCCTCCTCCTCCTTCTCCTCCTCCTCCTCCTCTGGCTCTGCCGCACCCGGGCTTGCCACTCAAGACCTCCTGAGAGGCACCAGTGGACGTTCCGTCCAGGTCGTGCGAGGGTTGGACAGAAACGAACCGGCGCCTCCGAGGGTACGCGAACTGGTCGCTGTTCCGCGCGACGCGGGGGAAGCACGGAGGCGTTCTCAAAGCCCATGCTCGCGAGTGCGACCGTTGGACATCCTTTTGGACGGCTTCCCGCCGCGAGGCGTCCCCTCGATGATAATCTGGAGGCAGGAAAGGGTTGTGGTGTACAAAGGGGTGTGGTGCTACTTTTATGTAAAGGCGAATCTGGCGATGTTATTCATCGCAGATAGCATCGCCATTTCCACGAACGGCACCATACAGGGCCCGGCTTGAATAGGGAACATTTACTTGTCAAAAGGGGCTCGGTCGTTTCTTCGGTTTGCATGCGTTCCGCTACCTTTTTGGCGGCGAGCCCCCCTGGTGTTCTCTCGGACTTCGTAGACTTACTGGGAAACAAATGGGCTTCGTTCCTTCTGTATCGTTCCTTAGGTCAGGCCGAATCCTGTACCCCTTTATGCCACACCCCTTTCCGACCTCGAAAGATACATCGCGGGACGGCCCGGGTGAGCTTCTGGGGGTCCGCTCCCGTGGCTTATCGCTCGAGTCCGTCCGCCGTCGAGTCTCCACGTCAAATCCAAGGTACCCGTACCTCTACCCTTCGCCCGGTTTCCCCTTTTGGGGCCTCTTCGGAGGATCTCGTCGCAACCGCTGCATTCGCCTCGAAATTCTGGTCAGAACGCACCCCAGGAGAGGTCCAGGAGTAGCGGTATCGGTACCTTTTGGTTTCTCCAGACAAAAATTCGTTGTTCGGTAGCGAATCGTGGGAGCCTGGTGTACCCTCGCAATTTTGTTTTTGGCGTCGATTAGCGCCGATTAGCGCCTGGGAGTCGATGAGATAGTGCCGATTTAGCGTGGGTCAGCTTCGATTAGCATCAATCTAGCGTCGATTAGCGTCGATTTAGCGTCGACTAGCGTCGATTCGCAAGAGCGGGCAAGATGGTATGGGAGGCTCCCATGAGTTGCCACCGAATCGTTGTCGCCGGATTCATCTCAGACATCCAGCGCGGCTGGATGTCTCGTCTTGTTGTCGAAATCGACTGGCCCCCTGCGCAGCCTGATGGGGCCCCGCTCGCGCTGCGAGCCCCCGTCTCAGAGACCTGCATCCCCCCTCAAGCCAGACCCCCCCAGATCCCTGGCTCAGGGGACCCCCTTGGACGTTCTTGCAAAGGGTACCTCCCCCGGGACTTCTGCGCCTCCTGGACCGGCTGCCGGGCCTGACCAGCGGGCCCAAAGCGGTCAGGAGGGTGGCCAAACGACCTTGCGAGAGCCCCGATTGGCCCCAGACACCCACCAGACCCTGGAAGACGGCCTCAACAACATCCTCAAGAAGACCTCCAAACGTAAACATCATCTATGTTCATGTGGCTTCGCTGTGATTTTCTTGCGGCGAGCCTGGGGGGAAGTGAGAAGGATAAGGCCTTCTCAGAAGTTTCAGAAGTCCCCCGGCCTTCTGAGAAGTTTTCTGAGCCTTCCCCGAAGGCACAGAAAACCTTGCAGAAGGCGCGAGGGCCTGTGAGAAGTCCCGCCGCCTTCTGAGAAGGCCTTCTCCTTCTCACCTCCCCACCTCGCTCGCCGCCGAATTTGGGGGATATTCGGCTCTTCGGACTTCGGGCGTCCAGGACCGCCTGAGAAACACCGAAAATCGTCCCAGAACGATTGCAACGGGCTTGCAGACAGTCCAAGAAAGCCCCAAGGACCACGTCAGGCGGGGTTGGGATGAGGATAAATCCGTTCCAGAGCGTTCAGGAACGCTTTCAGAGCGTTCCGTAACGCTCTGAGAAGGCCGTGGCGCCCGGGGCATCCTCCAGAGTTGCCAGATCTCAGAGATTCTCGATTTGTCCTCACCTGATGTTATCTTCATCTTGGTTTCGTCTTGCCATGACGGCCCAAGATGTCCCCAAGACGCCCCCCGAAGCACTCCGAATCATGACCAGGTCGTTGGGGGAGACCGTGGTTCGCAGCCAGGTGGCCCGAGGAAGCCCCCCAAGAGCGTCCAGGAGGCCTCCAGAAACCCCCTAGGGAGTCCCTGAAAAGGTTCCGGCAGGCCCCACGAGGCCTTTCACGGATGAGACTGCGCAAAATAAATGGAGGAGGATGGACAAGGGTTCGCGGGGGAAGGGGCGAGAATGAGGAGGACATTTGATAGAAGGAGGTGGCAACACGTACTTGAAAAACGACGGCGGAAACCAGCACCAAGGAGTAATATTTGTTTTTGTTGATTTACCCTTCTCCTTCTCTCATTCCGCCCGCATGCCGAAATCGAAGGAACAATGTGAATGGCGCGAAGCGCCGATGTAATATTGTATGCAGGTGTATGTACACATTGCATATACATATTTATATGCATGTGTATGTGTATGTGTGTTTGTGTGTATATATGTATATGTGTACGTCTGTGTATGTGTGTATGTGTGTGCATGTGTGCTTGTTTGCTTCAATGTATGTATGTATGCATGCATGTATGTATGTATGCATGTATGCGACACACCTACATTCATACATACGGTTGGAGACCGCGGTTGGAGGCAGGGTGGCCTGAGGAAGCCCCCAAAGGTCCCCAGAAGACGCCCAGGAGGCCTCCACAAGGCCACAAGAAGCCTTTGAAAACTTCCATGAGGCCCCCAGAGGCTCTCCAAGGAGGAGCCTCCGCAAAAAGAGGTGAGGAGGATGGGGAAGAATTCGCAGGGTAGGGCGAGAATGAAGAAAAAGAAACGTGGAGGAATAATCATGAGCAACATTATTATAGCGGCGATACTATTAAAGGCAACAATTCGTTATCGCTAAATTGTCTGCTTGACCTTCCTGCTGTTCCGCCTGCATGCCGAACTTCGAGAACCAAGGTGCTTGGCGCGAAGCGCCAATGCAGTCTTGTGTATGCATATGTAGATGTTTATGTGTGAAAGAGCGTGTTCTACCGCTGCTGGCGGAAAACCGGGGGGGGTCACTACCGGTTCGAACCCCTCCCCCCTCCCCCCCCCCCTCCGGAAAACCGGGGGGGGGTCACTACCGGTTCGAACCCCTCCCCCCCCCCCCAGTTCATCATGAAAAGGGGGGGGGTCACTACCGGGTGGTCGACAGCGGGACAGTGGTGGGGACAGTGGGGGGACAGTGGGACCTGGGGACCCAGGGGGGGACAGTGGACAGTGGTGGTGACGGTGGTGGTGGGGACAGTGGTGTGGGGACAATGGGAATGAGGTGGAAACAGTGGGACAGTGGAGGGTACAATGGTGGTGGGGACAGTGGTGAAGGCGGTGGCGAGGACGGCGGTGGGACAATGGGACAGAGGTACAGTGGGGACAGTGGTGGGGACAGTGGGGACAGTGGTGGGAACAGTGGGACAGCTCAGTGGGACAGCGGAGGAGTCAGTGGGACAGTGGGGACAGTGGGGATAGTCGGGCAGTGGTTGGGGCCGTGGAGACAGTGGGGAGAGTGGAACCGTGGTGGGAACAGTTCTGGGGACAGCGGGGACAGTGCGACAGTGGTGGGGCCACTGGTGGGGACAGTAGGGGCGGTGGTGGAACCAGTGGGGACAGCGGTGGTGAGGACAGTGGTGCTGGGAACACCAGTGGGGGATGTGATGCGGACGGTGGTGGGGACCGGGAGTCGTTTGCTGGCGGTGAGTAGGGGGGGGGGGGGGGGGGGGGTTCGAACCGGTAGTGACCCCCCCCGGTTTTCCGGATCCGGAGGGGGGGGGGGGGGGGGGAGGGGTTCGAACCGGTAGTGACCCCCCCGGTTTCGAGGGGGGGGGGGGGGGGGGGGGGAGGGGTTAGGGGAGGGGGGGGTTTTGCCGGGAGGGAGGGGGGGGGGGGGGGGGGGGAGGGGTTCCAGCAGGGGGGGGGGGGATTTTCGGAGGGGGGGGGGGGAGGAGACCCCGGGTTCCGGAGGAAAAGGTTGGCAATTTTCCACAGTAGAGCGGCGGTGGATCACGCTCTCTCTTATGTGTTTATATATAT